CGAGGGTGACTGTTGTTTCTTTGACAACATTGCCCTGACTCCAGGGCAAATGTAGTTCCCCAACTGTTCCTCCCAAGGCAGGCTTAACTTCCCAGCCTGCCTTCCTTGGATGTGCTCCAGTTTGTCAGTGCTATTCTTAAAGGTCCTTGGCATGAGGCCACTGTCGTCACCCTCTGCCTGGCTCAGCCTGTGAGCCCTGCCCCTTCCTCTTATTGGTGCTGACACGGTCCACTAAAGGGTATACACTGTGTGTTTTGGGTCTCTCTCTCTCTCCCTCTCACCATCTCTCCATCTCTCTCTCCCTCTCTCGGAAACAACAGCTAGGCTGCTTTGAGCTTGGGCTTGGCCTGAGATACTGCTTTGTATTATACTAAATACAACTGCATCTATTAAAAAAAATATATATATATATTTGTATACACATTTATATATGTATATATCTGTAGTCGCAGAGAATTCTAATTTATGACTTCTTTTTTTCTTTGAATTGCATCTAAGGTCAAGTCTTTACTAAATCAGACTTTTTAAATTAAAAAAGTGCTTTGAGTAATTTGTGAACGCATTCTTGCAAAATTCAAATGGTAAAAAGATACATGAAGCCAAATGTTAAAGACCCTCTTTACCATCACCCGTCACTGGCTTCACTACGCTATGGTTAAGTTTATGTATTTCCAGACCTGTTCCTTTTACACACATATCGATGTTCACACACAAATATAAAGATTCTTTAATAGAAGTGAGATTATACTGTATGTATTTTTCTGCAATTTTTCTTTGTTACCAAATAACGTACTTGGTGACTTGTTCATATCAGTACATATAAGTCTATTTCATTCTTTTTCACCTACTGCATGGCATTCCGTTGTATAGATATACCACAGTGCATTTAGCATTTTCCTATTGATAGACATTGAGATATTCCTGAAAGTTTTCTATTTATTTATCATTTATCATTTAACGTTAAAGACTGTAGGTCCCATGGACCCCTGATTCCCACATTTTCTTTTTTAGCATGTACCTCCTACAGCCCTGAGGGAGGTTTGACGCATGTATATAGTAATATCCAGCCCTACAACTCCGCTAGATTAGATTAAGGAAAGTCAGGTTAACGGAATCAAAACTAATGGAGGGAGGAACTGTTGGAAACAGTACACAGGCAACAAAGGGGTAAAAAATCAGATAAACTCAAGTCAGATCTGGGTGAGACAATTGTTAGCAATGTCCTCAAGCTGCGTAACTCCTGTTAGCCTCAGTTTCCCGATCTGCACAGCCAATACTACCCATCTCAGGGTCATGGGGGGGATTACGTGAGATTAATGGCATGCAGCGCCTAGTTCCAGGCCCACCATGCGTGGGAACTCTGGCAGTGCCAGTCCCCTCCCTGTCCCCAATCCTCCTTCAGTACCACGTGGGTGTGCACCAGTGGAGAAGGCGGTGGTGTGTTTTATACAAGCTTTTGGGCTGAGTCACATGGGATTGTCATGGTTAGCAGCCACCAAAACTGAGGACTCACTCTCTGGCTAAGAGCATGCGGGGAGGGATGATGCTCAGAAGTGGCTCTGCTCTAGAAGGCCAAAGAGTCGTGTGAGAATAGCTAAGAGCAAAAGAGGAGAGAGCACAGCTTAATTTTCTCAGACTGATCATGTGGAGAGATCTGTTGGCAGACTGCAGAGTCTGCTCTTAGTAATCGCCGGGATTTTGCATCCCAGGGAGAAAAAAATCCTGGAGTGTGGTTGTATAAGGGACTCGGGGGGCATAAATCTGCCACGGGCAGGCTCCTGGCCGTGGAACCCGAGAGGCAAGGGAGGAGGGCAGTTCAGAGGTTAGATGCTTGCTGTTTTCCATCTCTGCTGAGGACAAACCAGAGAGAGACATGGCCTTCCCAACAAAGGAGGATGGGAGAGGAGAGACAGGTTTCCTGAGTACAGAAGTGCGGAGCCAGGAGAGGACCCGGGGAAGCACAGAATTCTCCCATCTCGGACAACTACAGAGCTACAGAGAAGCAGGGTTGCTATGGCAGATGCGTTGGGCAACCCTCCGCTCTGCTGGGAGGAGGGCAGGAGCAGTGGACCGTCCTTCCTTTTCTTTACTCCCTACCCCCCACCCGAACCCCTTCTTGCCCCCAGAGCTTTGGGGCCACGGGAGATGTTCAATCACACAGAGCAGCATTTCTTAACGGTAGTCCATTCCATTGGTCCACACCAGAACGTCTTAGGGCTCTTGCTAAAAAGCATGCATCCTGGGGCCCTGCCCAAGACCACAGTGAATCAGAAGCTCTGCAGGTGGGTCCAGGAATTCTGCAAATGTATTAAGCTTCCCAGTGATTCTTTGGCATCTAAGATTTGAAAGACACCACCACAGAGAGAGGTAAATTGAGGCTTTTGAGACTATGATCCATTAAAAGCATTTCTCTGGGTAAACAAAGAAAAAGAAATGTCACATCTACCAGTGGCACCTTGAACTAGCAGCACTGACATCACCTGGCGATTCGTGTGCACGCTGAGGCTTGGGAAGCTCTGGGCCAGTAAGGCGGTGCGGCGGCTCCAGAGGCAGGTAGCTGTTAACCACGGGCAGCGGGAAGAGGCTAGACTGGGACTCAGAAGACCTGGGTGCAAATCCTCATCCTTCCACCCATGGCTGTGTGAACTCGGGATAGTGGCTTCACCTTTCTGAGCATCGATACCCCATCTTTCGGGCGTGATAAGGCCCACTTCCTATGGTCAGTGCAAGCATGAAACTGAAACTGTCTGGCACAGGCAGGTGCTTAATATTAAATAGATGTTAGTAGGAGATTGAATCGGCAGTCACCTTTGCTGGGTTTCTCCTGCTTTGACTCTGATGGTCTTCAGAAAGAGGCCTGGGTGGCAGCAGGGCTCTGCACCCCACGGGATGATGGTCTGGACCGTGTTCCAGACGTTGGCCCACACTGCGCTGTTTTCCCACTTGAACTTGATCACGATCAGCTCGCCGATGTCCGAATCCAACGTGATAAGAAAGGAATAGGTTTTATTACTAGTAATTCCTCCACTCCTTGAAGATACGAAGAAAATTAGACACCGTCAGTCTAGTTGTAACAGCGCGGTGAGGCTTAGGCACATTCGAGACGCGTTATGTTTGCCTGAGTGACTTGGGTTGGCGTTTTTGCTGCATTTCCCAAACTGGTGTTCGACAGACTATTAACAGAGATAGCAATAGTGTGCCAGGATAAAGAGAGTTTTCCAGGCAATAAAATAGGGAAAACCACACTGTTTTCTGTGTTAGCATGTTAAAGCCTCTGAGAAATCCCGCTACAATGAGTCTAGCTAACTGTCTTTAGCTTAGCTTCTAGGAAGAAGCCCCCAAGGACACAGAGGGGCTTTGGCAGTGGCCTCTGGAACCTCAGCTCTCTGTAGGTTTGATGAACACAGTACCCCCACACCACACTCTCTCCCCAGTAAGGCTCCCCCTCATCTAAATAGAAACTTCTGTTAAAACAACAAAGCATAACAGTAATAGAAAAACCACATATAAAAAGGATGCACCAATTTAGAGCAAGATTTAAATGCGGACTCTGAGGTATCATTATCAGCTTTACTCACTAATCTCCAAGACATTAAAATATCCCAATGTTGACAGAGCAGCCAGATGCCCTTTCTGCTACTGAGAACACTGCCCCGGGGAGGGATTGTAGACAGTGTAGAGGCAACCCTGCATCTAGAGGGAGGCAGAGGGGCAGAGGGCTCCCGTGAGGGGCTTGTCATAGCTCTCGCTGCAGTGTGTTGTAAAGAATCGTGTAGGAATCCACCCACCCCGCTAGGCTGTGAGCACCCTAAAGATAGGGTCCTATAGCCTTGGATTTGTTGGATGGAACACCAATGGATCCTTGCTGAAGGACTGAATCAGTGCGATCATCAGAGATGGGGGCAATCTTCAGGAAGCTCAGGACCGTCCCTGGAGTGGCGGAGGGGCTCATGTCACTTCCCAGGGAGAGGCCATGCTGAGGGCCTCCAAGTCGTGAGGCCGCTGCAGGGGTGTGACCAGCAGGGGCAACAGGGTGAAGGACTGCTGGGGAGGCCGGCCGTGCAGGCTGATTGAGATTGGAAATCTGTGCCAAGTCGAATGATACCTCTTTGATTTCTGGGTTATGGTTTTCAGAACTCTCTGGAAAGGCGTTCGGAACCTTCTTGCAGACACCTGCTCTGCCCTTCACCACTAGGCCCTGCTCGGATCTTCCCGGACAGCAGACCCTGGCGAGGTGGGTGGATTCCTACACGATTCACAACACGCTGCAGCAAGAGCTATGACAAGCCACTCACGGGAGCCCTCTGTCCCTCTGCCTCCCCTGAGATGCAGGGTTGCCTCTATACTGTCTACAATCCCTCCCCAGGGGGGTGTTCTCAGTAGCGGGAAGGGCTACTAACTGCTCTGTCAACGTTGGGATATTTTAATGTCTTGCAGATTAGTGAGTAAAGCTGATGATGATACGTCAGAGTGTGGCCTTCCTGTCTGCTCAGCCCTCAGGACATCAGCCCCACCACACACACAGGCAGTGCGAACAGAGAGCAGCCGGTGGGACATGCAAGGCTGAGGAGGGACATGAGGGGCTGGCCTTGGGTGGAAGACATCTGACAGGATGCTTGGGGCAGCCAGAATGGGACAAGCTGGGTTTGCTTAAAGGGTTGTCTCTGAAGCACCAAATGTTTGTTTCTGTTCACAGCAAGAACCGAACACTAAAGTTGATCTGTAGGCCAAGAGTTTTCCTCTCAGGTAAGAGCTGGCTGGGCTCGCACAGTATCTAGCACCTACCACAGTGCCCTGCACGTAACAGGTACTCGAATCCTCAAGCCTGAATGAAGTAGTCTGGCCTGACCCTTGGAAAGTACAGGATCCATTCAGACCCTGTGCGAAAAATAAGCGTATCCTCACCACAGACGGGAGCTACAGCTCATACTCACAGCGTGATGGGAATTTTCTGCGTTTCCTCCTTTGTTCCGAGTAGCGACATGGTAAAAGTTGGTTCTACAGGTTTCTCAATTTGGTTGACAAACTGGATCTTGAACTGGTAATGATAAACTAGAGAGAGAACGAGAGTAAATTTAAGTAAGAATTTTTTAATTAAAAATCTCATATTTTAAAAATTTAAAAATATATAGGGAAAAATTTAGATGGATAGATACCAGAAGGTTAACATTTCCCCCCCGAGTGGTGGGATTACAAATGCTTTTTATCTTCTTTCTCCTTCTCTGTATTTTCTAAATGTCTACACAAGCCTTATATAGTGTCTGTGATATAATGATGGTAAGTATCAGCCGATAAAAGACGGTAGGGTAGGAGGACTGCAGATCTGGCGTTCTCGCTGAATTCCGCATCCAAGTTCTATTGCAATATTTCATGTGTTTGGTGAGGGTATCATTTATAAATCAAAGGATATATGCTTGTTAGGCACCCGACAAAGGCAAAAGAGAATACATTGCCATTTTACACTTTGTCTCTGTCTGATAGGGTCCATTTCAGGGTTGAGCAGAGTTCCAGCTAAGAAATGCATGCCCCAATGACGACATCTGTATATTCCGGGCCAGTTTTTGGCAACAAGCTGTGTGAGGTTCAATAAGCGCATTTCCTAATGGAAATAAGATAACTCTATTTCTAGACTTTGGGCCTAAATGTTTTCTGTCTTATCAAATGTCTAGAATGTTCTTCTACTGGGTTGGTTGGGAAAGGGTAATTTATTTTATTCTTTTTTACCCACAGTCTATATTTAATTAATAAAAGCAAATAGCTTACTATTAGATAAGCGTTGTTATTAATAAATACTTTACATTGCATCATCTCATTGACTCCTAAACCTGTAATGTAGGTATTATCATCCCCATTTTAGAGATAAGAGAACGGGGGCTCAGATAGGTAAAGCGATTTGCTCACAGTCTCATAGCAGAGTCTGTGCTCGTAGCCTCCCTCAACCTAGATGGTGTGGCCTCCCCTGCATTGTCACACCAACCAGCTGTGGGGCTATTTTCAAAATCACCCTACCTCATTCCCAAATAGCTGGTTGCTGCTTAGACGTCTTTCTCTTGCTGTCTTCGTATTCTCTAAGTGTTGACAGTGATCTAGCTCCGTGATCACAAACAGGTTTAGTGTGACATGTCGATTCCATTTGATTGATAGTGACTGCCTAGAGAACCCTATATTGAGATGGATTCTGAGACTATGTCCAGGTTCTCGGGAAGATGGGTCTGCTTTGGGTGAAGGATAGGGGATTTATAGTATGCTTGCTATATATCTGCATTTCTTGTTCTAGACAACGATTAATCCACTAATCCTAATATAGTGCCTTGCATATAGTAGGTGCTTTGATAAACTTTTGCTTGGGGGTGATGTAGCAGGAGGTGCATTAACATCTAGCAAGATGGAAATCACCTCTGAGGATTCAAGACCTGAGTCTTGTAGGAGAATTCCTTTTGGAATACTTAGATCATGATAACCTAGCCACATGACCATTCGTCCCTTGTACCTAGCATCTGAATATTCATGATCTTCATCAGTCAACCTACTAACTCCCAAATGGTGCCATTTCCACTGGAGGTTGGTAGCTATACAACAAGCCTAGCAGAAGACATTGCCAATGGTGTATTGCTAACATACCAGCTTCAGTGTCCTGGAGTGCCTATGTTGCTGTGTTTCTAGATTATTTACACAATCCTATCCTTTGGCATAAACAAATCTTCCTTTTTTTTTTTTTTAAGAGACAAGATCTTGCTATGTAGCCCAGGCTGGCTTTGAACTCCTGGGCTCAAGTGATTCTCCCACCTCAGCCTTGTGCATAGCTGGGACTACAGGCACGTGTCACCATGCCCAGCTTCCCATTTAGATTTTGCAGTGCATTTGCTCATGTGTCTGGGGATGATATCTCTTGGGATTACTAAAGGGGTTGTCTCTGAAGCACCAAATGTTTATTTACGTTCACAGCAAGAACCAAATTCTAAGACTTAATTTGTAGGCCAAGAGTTTTCTGCTTTAGTAAGAGCTAGCTTGGGTTGTATCTGGCAGGCACTTATATACATTGCCTGTATATAAGAGGTGCTCAAATCCTCAAGCCTGGAATAAAAGTAGTTTGATGCCCTCAAGACAGCAAAAAAGGCTGTGGGTGAGAATTAAGAGCTATGGATAGAAGTCCCAGGAAGGGTCCCCAAACCCTTCAGTGGCACCACTGAAAAGAGAGACTGCAGCTTATCATCCCAGAAGCCTCTGGAGAGGTCTTACGCTCTTTGGGGGTTTGTCAAGGAAACTCTGCAAGAAGCGAGCAGTGTTATAAGTTGTACTGAGGCAACAAAGGAAAGGTCCTTCTGAAGACACAGGCTATAGGGAGCAGGGTGGGAGGGGCTAAGAAGTACACAAAACAAGGTGGGAGAATTGGATTAACCTCACAAAGAGGCAGGGCACCTTCCAGAGAATGCAAGGAACACTCATAACTATTAATTTTCAATTCAGGGTAATATCATGTGTATTAAGTGGAAGTCTATTGTATGCTCAGTCCAGTGTTAAAAGATGAGCCAGTAAAAGTGTGTAATTGCTGGTATGCATGATAATAACATTGGTTAATATTTATTTTGGTCGTTGCCAGGTGCTTTGCATCTATTATCTCATTTAACCCTCACAACAGGTGACACTATTATTATATCATTTTAGAGTAGAGGGAACTGAAGCACAGAGAGGTTAAGTGACTTTTCTGGGATCACACAGCTAGAAAGTAGCACGGCTAGTGTGGCAGCCCAGGCAGCCTGGATCCAGAACCTGAAATTTTACACGTTTATACCCAGGACTGATAGCTTTATATCTTGTAAGGAAAAAGTTGAAATGTGGAAAGAGATTTAAGTTAAAAAAATGTCATAACAATTATTTCTTTAAAAATAAACCAGAAACACCTGAAATGTTCAATAATAGAAGAATGACTATGGACTAATAATGTCAATTATGATAATTACCAGTTAGTTCTTTACTACGTCCCAGACATTGAGCTAATAGTCTCCCATAATTATCTCACTTCTCTTTACAACAACTTCGTAAGATGCCTACTTTATCTTCCTTCCCACATCATTTTATAAATGAAACCAAGGCTCAGAAAAAGTTAAATAACTTGTCCGTTGTCACGTGGCTAATAACTGGTGAAGCCGTAATTAGAAGTTATTCTGCTGATTCTCAGTTCATATTCCCAACCATGTGATTTACTCTTATAAAGCCATTAAAAGATATTTTTGGAATGATTGCAAAGCTTATGAAGGATGTGAAAAGAAAACAAAAACAAAAAACCAGGATATGAACTTGTCTCTCTAGCATGAGCCCGACTCTGTAAAAGATAATACATAGAAGCAGGGGGATTCGCAAAAGTATTAGCAGCGCGTATCTCTGGAAAGGGCGGAGAGGCACTTTTTATTCTCTTCTTTATGTTCTGCACGTTCCACATTTCCTACACGATAAGCATGTGTTCTAATTAGAATCTTACTGGAAAAAGAAAGAGCTTTTCAAAGTATTCAAAACGAAAACAAGAGACCTAGAAGTTGCAGTCCTGACTTTGGAGGTGCTTGCAGCTGGGCAGAGTCACTCATGGGACCTTTGTCACCTCTGCCTTGTCTCATGCATCAATGTCCCTGTCTGATCTCCCTGAAGGCAGTCTTGGGGTCACATTACTGCTTGTAGCTCCGTAAGGGCACACAGCACACGCCATGCAGCCAAGGAGTACGTCAGCATGGGCTCTGTGAGAAGAACAACTCAGGACACATACTGCATTAAAGACCTTAAGAACACTAAAATAGCTTCTGTTTGTTGAGTTTCTGCTGTGCATCAGGCTATATACTAAGTGTTTTACATAGAGCGTTTTTGTCCTCATAGCAAGATGACCTTAATCATAACTTGCTGGGTCCTCTCCATCTGCTATCCCTCTTACCCTCACCTACTCTGCCCTCCCTGCCCACCTCTGAGCCCCAGGACAGGACCCCTTGGACTGCTGACTCCTTCTTGGTTGGGTTTGGCCACTGAGGCGGCACTGGCAGGAGATCAGGGCAGAGGAGAGCAAGGCCCGGAGATCTTTCCTTGGCTTCCTCCTGCTTTAGAGCCTGACTGTGTAGCAACCGCGCCCCTCATGTTTAGCAGTCCCTCCTGCACGGCTCTGTTCTCCCTGGGCTAGTCCCATCCCTGGTTCCTGCCCAGCTGTTGGAGTCAGGGTGCAGCGACAGCTCTTGTTGGTTTCCTTAATACTGCCCACCCCGCTGTAAGGAGTCCCACCTGCTCTTCTCACTCGACCCAGGTGAGTGGAGTTCTGTTTTCTGCTGAGACCTAGACTGACACAGTGTTAGTTATCCTGGTGAATTACAGATAAAGAAGCAGAGGTTTGGAGACCTGTAGTTACCCAGATAGCTATAAGTGGAGCAGAATTTAAAACTCTGGTGTCTAATTCCAAAAGACCCTTCCCCTCTCTCCTGGTGTTTTGGTTCTGCAAGCTGAGTCTGCCCTTTGCAAAAGGCAAACAGCCTCTGAAGAAAAGCTGTGGTCAAAACTTGCCTCGAATGAAGCCACCAAGACAAAGTGTCTGCTAGCTATGACCCCCTGACATCCATCCTGGGCTATCACTGCCACAGAGGCCTCACTCCTGTCCCCTGAATGGGGATAAATGTTTCAGGTCCCTGTCTTGAAGATGCGTTTTTGTCTTCCCTTTTCCTTGAATTGTAAGTAGGAGGAGATCAATTTCCACGTCTGAGATGCTACAGTTCCATGACTCTGGGGGAGGGTGCTTGTTTGTGTAGAACCCAGGAGTCGGCTTCAGGTAATGCAAAGTTCCATGTAGCTCACACATCCTAAGAATGAGAATTACCTGCCCCCCACCCACCCCCAAGTGTGTCCCTGGAATGGGATGTATGCAGGACGTCAGAAGCTGCCAAAGTGTGTGGGCTGAATCCGAGTGAGCTGCATCCTGAGGTCACCAAAGAATGGCTTGGAGGGAGCCTACACTGGTGGCTGAAGTGCCCTGGTGTTTACAGTAGCATTCCTGAAACGCTCCATGTCTGCACAGGAATCCTGTG